ACATGAAACAGGTGAATGAAAAAGCATACAACACTTCCAGTAAGAATACTGATTCAGTTTTATATATTAACTGGATGTTGATGAGTATTTGCAGACTGTCAGCAAAGGTCCTACGTAGATGGCAAGGAAGTAGGTATGGGAACATGGCACGATGAAAGCTGTAGCCAACCCCCAACTAGGGTCAGTGCTGATCTGCTCCTAATGTGTCTTGTGCCACTATCTCTCTGTTTATAAAACTGTATGCATTTTTTACTCTACTACTAAAAAATGCTAAACTCTTAAGTGTAGAATTAATCAGGATGCTTAAATACAAGCCCAGCATTCTTCAGAATCAGCTATATAATCTTTACATCTTAAAAGTAAGGAAAAGATCAAAGACAAAACAATCTAGAATACTTTAACAGATATTGAAAGAATTAACCATCTGATTACTGGAATCTAAACCTAAGCTAGTTTGCCATTTGCAGAATGTCCTATCACAATTGTGCTGTGTGTGCCCCCAGCAGTAGGTACTGGTCTGAAATACTGCAAAAACCTCAGCAAAACTTCAATTTCCAAGTTGAGCAAAGCAGCTACAATGATAATAATTAATTGATAGGTAGGGTAGCTGCAATCTGTAATCTGATATGACAAGTGTCTACCTCAAAACCCAAATTCTGAACTGGTAGTTAAAGAGGTTGGTTTTATTTTCACCAGCCACCCACAGATCAGAGCAACTCTTGTTGAATTCCACTGGCTTCAGCAAATCCATGTTGTGAAATGTTTCTTACCTTGTGCAATGTTTCAAGTTTTTACACGTTTTGAGAATTAGAGGGCCACAGGTTTAATCTGAGAATATAACCTAACCTTGTGTTATTTACCTACAGGTGTTTCATGTCTCCCTGTGCTAGGTGATTTACAAAAGAAGGATGGAAAAGCATACAAGCCAAGTAGAATACTACAGATGAGAGAAATTTTATCTTTTCAAACAGTATCAGAGACATGACTTACAGATTTGACAGCATTAAAAATTCTTTGCCCTTACAACTACTTCGTTACACAAATTTGGGGACTTCGCAGGAACTAATGCATTTTTGACATTACAATTTTTTCTCCCTAATGACAGACAACACATTTGATATTTAAAATATTTAGATTATCCAGATCAACTATTAGTCAGATAGTTCAGTACCAGACACTTTAAAATATGAAGTTCTGTGGCCTGAAACTTGTGCTTTCCTTTGGCATCAAATACTGCTGACACAGATTTTACCTTTGCATTACCAGTGAGTGACCTAATGCCCTTTCCCATCCTTCTTCTGACCATGTGTTATACAGCTTAATGATCATCCAAAACTCCATAGCTAGCTTTATCTGAATGCTGCTGGTGTGCATGCTGGTTCAATACAACCTTTAGCTACCATTTAGGGCAAAGGACAGTATGAAAGAGGTCATCTTATTAGAAATACTGTAGCTGCCAACAGAAAAGAAAAATACTTTATACAAAACCTGAAAATTTATGGATTTTTAAAAATCTCATTTAAGAAGTTACGTATTTCACTTACTGCTATTGTGCAATGAAAATAAAAATAAATTCTTGTAGAAAAGACTTGCCCATCAATGAGACAGTTGAACGGAAAGAGTTGTGTGCCTATGAATTACAGTTTCAGACTGCTTACACTCTGCCTTAAAGCTGTGTATTCTTTCTCTGTGCTTGTACAATGCATTTATGTTGGAAGGCACTGTTAAAACTGGGTGATATATTGGTTTAGGGAGGTAAAGATTAATTCCAGATGTGGTCATGCTCTTCTAGCCCTTCAAAAAGTAACTACTGCACCATCTGTTTTGTAACAGACGATTTCAAAGAGTGCCAAGGGGAATGTTAAAGACATTGGTCAAATGGGTACATATACCTCACACACAGGAATTACAGAGGTCACAGTGCCTCAGACAGATTAATATTTTCACTTTTTTCTCTCTATTGTTCCCCCATGGAAACTCAAGGAACAGCTCTCCTTCCTTCCAGAATAGGAAGGACATGTTTTCCAGATTATTACCAGTGTTGACATGCATGAGGCCAAATTCAGACCTGAATTCAGTGGAATGAATGGAATTCATGGTAACATATCTTATAACTGCCCCATTTTTGGATCCTTGTATTCCAAACAGCTTTGGGTTGGTTTGTTTGTTTGTTTGTTTGTTTTTTAATGAACTCAATAGGAGGAAGTTATGCTAAACTGACTTCAGGTTTGGCTGGCTGCCCAAGACAAATGAAAGGTGCAACAGTTAATGAAGGGTTATTCCAGATTATGATAATTTTTATTTTTCCTGGTTATTTCAGGAAGCTCCAAGGAATTGTGTCTGTTCTTCTAAACACAGTGTTATGCATCAGTATCTTGGTCGTGTAACAAAGATGCAGTCAGGTCTAGCACCAGCATAACTTAAATTCTTTGCAACAGTAAAACCGAAGTTCTCTGAAGACTTCCTAAGTATAAATCTGAACTTTAGAGCAGTAACTCATCATTTATACCACATAGTACTGAGACAAGGTCTAAACTGAAAACAAAAGGAAAATCTAAGAGAGGTTAAACAGTCTTGTGCAATCACAGAGAGTAATTTTGGCTGCTGTGACATTAAGTAAATTACTGATAAAAAGAAATAAAGATTAACAAGGTGTCACCAGTTCATTCCTCTTTGATTTTTCTAGTGCATCCAGTCATGTTTTATACCAGTTCTTGTAATAAGTTACTACAAAAATAGCTTAGGACTAGCTGACTTAGTGCACCTACTTAAGTTTTGTTGACTTTGCTGTGGTTCTCTCCATTCAACAGCACACTGTAGCCAGTGCCTTAGAATGCAACCTTAGTTTCCAAGTATACTCCAGCTAGACCTTCAAGTTCAAAGTTTGCTTCTGGTAAGTAACAAATAAACTAATAGGAATAACGGCTCCTCACCATTTACCTCTCCTTAGTATTCTTAGAATTTAATTTCTCTTAAGCCACAGTCTATTTGATGGTATAGGGGAATTCCATACAGTAAGATTTACCCTTTTTAAGTATTAAAACATTTTTAAAACAAAGAGAGGATGAAACACAGAATAGGAAATGTCTGCTTTGGAGATCTTCATCACAGCTTTTAAAATTAAAGACATCCAAAAGAAATACATTCTGAGAGGCTAATATACATATTGGTGTGTGAGGATGCATATACACCTGTTAGGTAACACAAAGGCCCCATAGGTTAGAACAAGATTGAGTTCAAAATATTAGACTCTGTAAATAACACTTAGAACTAGATGTTATACATTGCAGCTATTCACAATTACACTCCAAACCAAAAGCTGCAAGAAGAAAACGGTGCCCGAAAGAAGGACCCAAACCATAAAATATTTTAAGGGAAAATCACATGGAGCTAGCCTATAGAAATCATCAAGAAGAGATGGTTTTGAAATCCCAGTCTTTACAGAGATAACATACCTCCTTGAGAGCTACAGAAACACGTCTCATTTCATCCTGTGTAAGCACCTGTACTCCCAAAAGACCTCACTAAACAACCCAAACAAACAAACAAACAAGACATCTGAATAAAACTCACTCTTGCAATTCAAGCAGTGTAGTAGTCACACCTCTTTTTGAGGCTGGTGTTCCTGCAAGAAAAGACCTCCAGAATGAAGAGGTATTTAGACATTATACCTCATCTTAATTCCAGCTTTTAAGAACTTCTAATCTCTTTTTATCCATTCTAGAACATAGTTAATAGAGTATTAGAGTCATAAATCTTACTCTATTCCTGGGTTTTTCAGGCAAAAATTCTGCTTTTAAATAAGTCATACAACACAGGGCTTAAGACAGACCCATTCTTTGACAAATACTCAAGAACTAATTTAGGTAAGTCATTGGTTGGAGAACAAATAAAGAAAATCCAGAAATTCACTTTCAGTAACTTTTTTTCTTTATGCCATAGTGAACCTAACTCTAAATTCAACCCTAAATGTAAGGATAAATCTTTAAAAGCTCGCTGTTTCTTGGGCTGAGAGGCTAATCTGCTCCAGCTGAGCCCAGCACTCACTCCACTCTAAGGACAGACACCTGTGGCACATCTTCTGCACGGGAAAAAAGCGACAGCCACTTGCTGGCTACCAGCTGGGTCATATGCACCTTGTCAAAGTGATCTATTTCATATAAGATATATAGATCCAGAATTACACAGCCTAGATTAAAAAAAGAAAGTAACTGTTTTATTCACTTGACACATACTGTTTTGAAGAGAGTTCAATTTGCTGAATTTAATCATTCAGAAACAAAAGAATAAAGTTTTTTAAAATAACTAATTTTTTCCATGTAGCAGAAGATTAAGATATGGTGTACCAGGTAGCCGGTACAAAACACATGCTCCATAGAATTAATTGTATTTCTATTGCATATCTTTTGGAAAACTCTATCACTTTAACTGCCATTGTCTTTGTACCTCAGAGGCAAGAACTATTACATAGAAAGGTCTGTTTCCTTTCTCAGCCATCTTTTGAAATGACTGGATAGTAGTTCTCTACTTGAGGGCACTTTTTTTTTGTTGTTTTCCCTTTTTTTGCTAACAGTGTTGCGTCCAGCTAGGACAGACGTTTTCCACCAGGCCAGCTGCCCAAATCACAATTACTGACTGCAAAGTCTGTGCTGCTGGTAAAGACCGTGGAGCTCACTTTGGCTTGCCCGGCGGGGGGAACTCCTCTATCACTGCTGGGAGGTTACAAGTGCCACCAGTCCAACCGCACAGAAAAAACCCCGGCCACCCACAAGGGCAGCGTGCTTGGGCACCGAACAACTGTCGCATGTCTCCCCGCAGCACCTGCCACATACCCTGTGCCAAGCCGCAGGTCAGCCAGCGTTCCCCCACCATGCTGTCCTGCCACGCCGGCGGTTGAGGAAGGCATACCGTCGTCAGCAGGGAGGCAGAGGCCACAGCAACCTCTGCACTGAAACACGCCTACCCCCGAAACCCCGCATCAGTTGCTACGTTAGGTATACCTGTTACGAGTATGGGCAGCGGATGCGTAATGTGCGCAAAGCGGCGAACACGTCATGTTTGCAATCATTTGCCAGCCCCCGTGCGTCCTGGGGACTGATCCCACGTGAAAAAATCGATTTGTTTTGGGGTTTACTTCTGTTTTTGTTTTAAAGCGCTGGCCTCAAAATTACCGCCTGCGTTTCGGCGACAACGCCGCAGCCCCTCGCCCGGCGCTCCCCCACCACCCTCCCAAGGCCGCCGCCCTCCTCCGTTACCCACCCGTGCCGGGGAGGGGCGGGGAGCGCGGCTGCGCCACACCGCCAGGCCCAGCCAGGCCCGTGCAGGCCCCGCCGCGCTCCCGGCCCGGGCCGCAGGGGGCGGTCCGGGCCCGGCGCCTCTCCTCCGGGCGCAGGCGCCGCCGGCAGCCCCGGGGTGGAGGGCCGCCTGCCCGCCCGCCCGCCCGCCCGCCCGGGGACGGCGGCTCCATGCGCTGCCAGGTGGGTGCTGCCTGCCAGCGGCCCTGCGTAGCGGGCCTCGGCTTGAGGTAGGGCGGGCGGCGGGGCCGCCTGGGTCCCTCGCCGCGCTGGGAAGCGAGGGGCACCGGGCGAGCGAGGCCTGGACGGCGGGAGCGGGACGCGGATCTGCGCTGACTTGTCCACCAGCCTTTTCCCTGCTCTCCTGGTGGCAGACTGGAGCAGGAGGAACGCGGCAGAGCGTTCTGGTTTGGGTTGTTTTGTTATTTTTGGAGAAGCTAATGTGCAGTAGCTTGGGGTTTGGTGTTTTTTTTTTTTTTTTTTTTCCTTTTTTTTTTTGTTGTTGTTTTGGTGTTTTTTTGTTTTGATTTGCTTGTTTCTTTTTTTTGTTTGTTTTTTGTTTGGTTGGGTTTGTTGTTTGTTTTTTTTTTTTTTTTTTTTTTTGTTTTTTGTAGGCCGCACTCCCCTGATCAGCGTTTGTTCCCCCAGCAGGTTTCGGTGCTGTATTTCGCCCGGAGCGCGGAGCTGGCGGGGCTGCGCAGCGAGACCCTCTCGGTGCCACGGCAGATCACCTCTCGGCAGCTCTGGGAGGAGATCGTCAGGGTTCACCCAAGGTATCTGGGAAAGCTGCTGCTGCTGTGCACAAAGTTTAACGTGGTTGGGTGTTTTTTTGATAAATACAAATTCAGCATTTGGAGTTGAGCCGTTACACATTATCAGTACTTTGATACCATAAAAACAGTGACGTTACCTTGTTCTTGTACTGTGCAGTTTTGTGTTTTGGCTGCTTGGAAATGCTGTAGCTTTGTGTATATGCAATCAAAGACAAGATCCAGTAGATGTACCCCAAAGTTGAGCCTGAGGGGGTGCTTTAAGACATGAGACCCATTGCCCAGGAGGGCCACAGTCCTGTAATTCTGCTTTGTGTGAAAACTGAGCTGTGCTGTTGACCTGTGGAGAAGGTGAGATGCCTCAAGAAGGGATCAAGCACAGCCAGGGCAATAATTAAGAAATTTATGATAACATGCAGTTGTTTTGGATTGCTTACCTCTAACTGTATTGTTAGCTGTTGGTCTGAGTTTATGGCACACTCTGGAAGGCAGGTCAGGAAGGGAAGTAAAGCCCTGCTACAGGCTTCTAGCCACTCAACCCTTATATAGGAAATCGGCTTAGCCACTTTCAACCTCCTCTGCTTTGAAAAAAACCTAACCTCTGTTGTTGCATTTCATAGGGAATCCAGTCCTGAGAGTGCTAGGTGTGCGCTGTAAGGACCCCTGCAGCTCTGATGCTCTTTGGGTGTGTTGGCAGAAATCCCTTCTCAGATTAAGGCTGAGGGAAGTCCTGTCAAGAATGAGGCCGATAGACAAAGGTGCAATACTGCTTTGGAGGACATAGTAAAAAAAAAAATAAACTGTAAGTTATAACAGAAGTTAAGGTCCTCAGGATTTAGTGCTGAATACACTGGAATTTCCGTAACTTCAAAAAATTCAATCTCTGGCACTTAGGTGCCAAAGTCTTCCTTTAGGCACCACCCTTATTAGATCTGCTCTTAAAGGCTATGAAAAAGAATTATTTAGCAATGGCATCTGTTTCCAGATGAGAAGCTCTAACGCCACTTTAGACCAGGGGCCTTTTCCTCACAGAGAATTAAGGTTAAGTGTGTTTTGGGGGTGGAGACGGTTGGGAATTGAGTGTATTTTATTTTTCAGTCTATTACTTGATGTCTGAAGCAGCAGTAGCACCTTTGGTGGGTTTGCTATAGTTTGTCAACTTTGTCCTTTTATGAATGATGACTCGAGGCAGTGCATTTTGCATGTGCAGTTACTTCACAGCGACCTTCTTGGAAAATGCTTCTGGTCCTAGCTTTTCTGGAAAAACTCAACGTAATTCTAAGGCATTGACCACAGACTTCTATTCACATTGCTAATGGATATTCAGACTGCAGCTTGAGCGTACTTGACAATGCTCTTCTGTTCCACCCATTTTCCCCAGTGTATTAATTTGCAAGTGATATTAATTAGAACCCATCCTTGTAATGGGCACTTCAGTTCCATAGCTGGGCTCAGTGACTTGCTTTACTTTCATACAGTCCCTCCTTTCAGTCTGCCCTCTCAGTGAGTGTTACTATGTTTTGCTCAGCCAGTGCCTTGCCTACTTTTGTCTACCTGGCTAGTAGGAAATAAGATGATTTTTGCTTGTACCCTTTTGACGTGCCTACTTGTTTGTAGGCAATACAGCTCTCTGCTGCCTGTGCCAGATTTTTGTAGTCTCAATAACAGTTGTCACACCTGTACCTTCTAAAGTAAAATGATGGTGTTCTTTTTCTGGTGTCTTACTGCTTTTGCCCTCGTACTCACTGTGTGGTTGCACCCAGTCATCCAGAGCTGTGGACTCTCACAGCAACATCTCACAGGTGTGAAATCTAAAAATACGTAGAAGAGCTGCCAGAAAACAGACCGTATCTGTTCTCTTAGTTCGGTTGCCACTCCTTATCGGTAGCAAATGTTTGACCTGTGACTACAAAAGACCAAAAGCCTCATAAACTGTGGGGTTACACAACAAGAGCAGATCTTTGACCACCAAATCTTCATGAGATCTCACAAACAGCATCCCACAATGCTTCTTGCCACATAAGAAAATTGCTCCAGTCCAGCCAAACTGAATCAGGGAAACATTTCCTTTTAATCCCAAATCGGAGGGTTTCTACCTCTTGAGTTACCTAGTTAGAAGCAGCTGAAGTGGGTCTGGTATACATTGGTTCATCTCAGTCTAAGTCCATGACAAAACCAGTTACTGACTTCTGAAAACTATACTGAGTTGGTTTCTCTTTAGCCAAAGAGAAGAAAATCCAAGAGTAGGAGGTGGGTGATTGTTGTATTTTTGAAAGTGTGTTGGAAGCAGAGTTGCGTAAGGCTCAGTGGTATTTACCTCAGCTGCTCTTGACTGTGCACTGGTTTGTTGTTTAATGAAATCTCACGGTTAAATGCAAACACTCTATTTAGAAACCTATTTGTACTTCTGCCAATCTCCCTCAGGCTTGCTGTCATCCGGGATCAGGTGGTTTTTGCTGTTCGGCAGGAGTACGTGCTTCTTGGAGATCAGCTCCTGGTTCTGCAGCCCGGTGATGAGGTTGCCATCATCCCACCAATTAGTGGAGGCTGAATCTGCCCAGGTTTTGTTAGGTAGGCATCACTTCTTGTTTAGTTTCCTGTGGAATAACATCCTGTGCTAAAATTTTGTGTGGATTTTGTGTAATGTTCCAAAAACCCTTTTTTGTTTAGGTTCAGAGATGTGTTTGTAATTCTCTCCCTCCACCCTGGTACTCTTTTGAGAGAGCATAACTTGCATTTGCTGCCGGAGAGAGCTGCTGTGCTGACCAGGAACTGTAAGTGGTACACCAGTAAATGGAAGCAAATTGCCAGAGAGGTCAGGCATTGTTTTGAATTTGGGTTTTAAGTCTTGTTATTCTTTTGTAGTTGTTTCTGGTTGCCAGTAGCTAACCAGCTGGCCTAAATAAGATAATAATGAAAAACCTCCTGCCACTTTTTAACAGAAAAGATGATACAGAAAAAGAATTGACTGCTGCTTAAAAAAAATTTTTTTGTTGTTTGTTGCTGACAAAGGAACAGGTGTCCTTAGAATATCTTAATTTCTTTCCATGCTTTCAAGTGCCAGTGTATGTATTTATTGCAGCTTGTTCCATTGCTGCTGCTCAAAGTACTTATTTTTCTCCTCATTCTTAGATGAACTGATGACAGGTGTCTACTCAGAGAGGTTAGAAGTGGCTCCTCTGTCACTGAAACAGACTGATATATGAGGTCCTAAATGTCTTGGAGAGCATATTCAACTTTAGGATCAGAACTTTAATCTGTGTTTATCAGAAACCTCCATTTTAAACTGTGTTTGATTTCAGTATGAGATAGGGAGGAGAGGCTGACAATCTTACCACAGATTTACTAGCACAGTGGTCCTTGCTGATTGATTGTACTATTAAACTGGGGTCTCAGACTAGTTCTAGTTTCGTCCTACCTGAGCAGACATTGCTACCAGGAAGGAACCTGTATGCATTAAAAACCGGGTCATTGCTTGGTATTTGCAGTTAATATTCTCTCAGCAAGTGTGCTGAGAAGTGAATTTACCATGGAGACTGGTCTCTTGGGGTGAGGAAGTAGGTGGTGCATGTTTTCTGCATAAATTGGGGTATCAGCACTCAATAAAAGCAGTTGGCCCATGCTAGTATCATCAAAACCAACGGAGTCTGGTTTCAGCTTTTCTAGTGAGCTATGGATGAAAGTGAAGATGTGCCAAAAGATTTTATCAAGCTGAAGTCCGGGAAGCTGTCTGTAGATGAAGTGTCAGAGCTGGTCATTTCACCATACTGTGGGGCAGTGTCTCTGTTCGTTGGTGAGTTTAGTAATTCTGAGCTGGATCTCCTGGTTGTGTTAATAGTCTAATAAGTGGAACCTAGGTTGTATACACCCCAAACTCGTGCTTCTCATGTAAATAAATTCCTGGACCGAGCGCAGGATGTTTAGAAAACATGTCCTGATTTATTTAGAACAAGAGAATGGCAGCTCTTAAACATTTGCACTGGGACAAAGTGGTGGGAGCTATTTTTCCATCCTGGTGGACACAGCTTGTTCAAGGTGGAAAGTGGGGTGTTGCAGCTGTGCAAACCACAGGTCAACTCCTGTATGAAAAGACCTGCAACTCAAATATTGGTTGAAAGTAAAGTACTATTTTACCTGGGCTGGTTAAGGTCAAGGGTCATAGCTTTGTCCTGTTGGTTAATGTAGGTGGTACAGATCTTGAAACCCCTTTGTGCTTAAACCTTAGTGCTACTGGACTCCTAAACACTGAGCACTTAAGCATTGCATGGGCAAATGCAATAATAGCACTGTAACATTTACCACAGAAGGCGTCTGAGCCTTGGGCATTACAGACTGCAGGCTTGTATAATGTGTAAACTAAATTCTTCCTTGTATATTAAAGGTTTCTCTTGTTCCATGAATCTATGTACACAGCCATGATTAGGGGAGTTCATTTATATTTGCACAGTGTTCACCTTGACCATAGCAGGAGATCCTGGGTTTTACTAAATGTTTATGTATAATATTTTATAATAAATACATAATATAATTATATGTACATATTTATTTACTCACTGCTTTTGGTTGATAAATTGTTTATCTTTAGGTACTACAAGAAATAATTTTGAAGGGAAAAAAGTGATCCACTTAGTATATGAAGCATATACTTCAATGGCAGAGACCGAAATAAAGAAAATCTGCAGAGATGTTAGACAGAAATGGCCATCAGTCAAACATATTGCAGTGCACCATAGACTTGGGTATGTATGGCCAGATCCCATCCTTCTGTAAGTGGAATATTAATCCTTGTCTGGTGCATGGCTGTGCTTACAGAATTACAGGATATGCAGAAGTCTTTATGAACTGTAATGCAGCAGAGCTGGCTGCAGGATCAAACTCTTGCTGTGGATCTCAGTTTCAGAAATCATCTTTTAAAAAATGTGTGTATTGGTAGTGTTTGCTGGAGTCCACATTCAGCCTGCAGGATCCTTGGTGCTGCTGTGATGTATTGAAAGTGGAGAGGATTGAGATTTCATTCCAGGGAAGGGGAGGCTGTTGGTTTGTTTTGTCTTTTTTTAAAGATGTGAACTTGGCAGCACTTTATTTTTTTTTCCACTGAGGTGCCACAGAATGTTCTTACTGTCAGATTTAAGTCAAATTATGTCATAGGGAACCTGAAAGCTTAAACTGTGGGGAGGGAGAGACATGGTAATTTCCAGCCATGCTTGCTGAAGAACCTCCTGTTGTTCCTTGAGTGTTGGGTAAGCGTTTTCTGTTGGGTGCAAAACACTGAATACTAGTATCTGACATACTCTTGAGCTTCACTGTTCATCAGATTTCTCACTGAAACTAGCAGGATTTGCAGTCTGTTGCAAATGCTTGTTTCCTTTCCTCTCAGCAGAAGGAATTTAGGAGGTGATGGCAAAGGGTAATGGGGTAACTCTGAGGGGTAGTTTCCTTACATTTCCTCTATAGACAATAGAGAGAGTGATTATTTTGAGGACAGCTCAAAGCATTTAAGCTTAGATTTTTCCTGCGAACTGTTTGCCAGAGGAGTCTTACAGAGGGAGGGTTGGGAGCCAATTTTTGTTAATACTACCCTTGTGAGGGCCAAAACAAAACCTTGTGCTACTTGTATTAAGTTCGGAAAAACAACACATCAAACAGGAAAAACTTCCTAATTTGAAATCAGAATTTGTAAAAAACTAAGGTTCATTGTAAAATCTGCATAGTTTGAGGTACTTAATTTCTTCTTTTGCAATATCTTATACAAACTGAGATGATTTCTTAGGTTTTCAGGTAGGAGCTGGCTGTTCCTAACTTGTTACAGTTCATTAAGCCAGCTTCCAGTGAGCTTCCTATACATTGCTGCAAGTTAGCAATTCTCCCCTCTTAATTCTATAGACTAGGTTTAAAAAGAAAGAAGGAACGGAAGAAAAAAGCCTGTCTGGGTGTCTTTATTCTAAAGCGTTGAATTCTCACATCTGTACTGGTTTTGGTTGTGGTTTTCTTTCTTTTTAAAAGTGTATAATCTTTTGGATATGGCTTGCCACTTGCTAAGTATGAATGAATCAGGAGAGTGTGTGGGCAGAGTACTGATGTGACATGGCTACAACTTTTGGGTGCTCTTGAGGTTAAGCATTAGCTAAAGCTGCTGTTGTTCCTGTTCTCTCCCTAGTGTGGTTCCAATAACTGAAGCAAGTGTAATTATTGCAGTCTCCTCTCCACACAGAGCAGAATCCCTTGAAGCTGTAATGTACTGCATCAATACCTTAAAAGCATCCGTCCCAATATGGAAGAAGGTACGTCTGGGGACAAATTTGATTTTAGGTCTGCGCCAGAGTCTTATGCAGCTGGGCTAAAGGCTGCTGCTGCTCTTAAGGGAAGCATCTGAAGCATTAAAGGCAGCAGTTGCTCCTGACAGGTTGCCAATGCCTAGCACCATGAGTTTCCTTTAATGCAACCAGGCCCACCTGTGGCAGGTAGGGCACCTGGAGGGCCCTCCCTTGTCTGTACCACCCAGCTCCTCATCCTTTTAACGCTACCCTGGGGTGAAAGTGAAGGAGCCTTGAGCATTCATTTTTTGAGTGGCAAAACTCAATTCTGCATAGGCTTGTGGAAAAACTTTGAGCCAGCTTTGCTTTGGACAGCGTTGCAGTTTGCGAGTAAAAGTGGCATTTGTTGTCTTTCTGTTTTCCCCTCATCCCTGTGGCCTTGAGAAAGCACAAGGCATTAATCAACAGCACACAATGAACAGATGAGCAGAGGTCCCAAAGCTAATATGGGCACACAACAATGTGTGGAGAGACCAGCCCGGGTCTAGGAAGAGCCTCGTTGCATAACCAGTGTTGCATGCAAGTAATGAGCATTACCTCTGCCCTCTCTCCCAGGCAGACCCTGACATGTGGTAACAGTGATGTGCTCTGCATTACTCTGCTTTTCTGACACATTTTCAGGAGACTGGAGTTCTGTGGTCTCAGAAAGAACAACCAGGGGCTCAGAGCCCTGATGAATTTGCTGCTTAGGACTGGACTGCTGCTGCGTAGTCCAGTCTGTCATGAAGATCTGATACTGTATTTTGTGTATAGTTGTCATTTTTATTTTTTTAATATTAACATTTTGTATACACTTAAATACTCTTCTAAAAATGATGGTACAGTAAGTTAACATGGCAACATGTAAAAAGGGCAGTTTCAGGCACAGGTGCTGTGTACTTTAAATGTTTTCCATAATTTTGTCTAGATCTTTCATGAATTGATTTCAGTATAGATGAGCCCTTGTAAATTTAATGGGGCTCAGCCCAAAGTTCAGCATCTGCCCACATGTAAGTCAGTATGTTCTAAGGGTGCTGCCCTCTTTTCTGTTTGCCAGCAAAGTGCTATGTAGTCCTGTTGTGATCAGGAAATAATGGTAGGATAGCTGTTGAGTTGTTTGGCCTGACTTATGACCGTGTGTATCAGACTGCCACAATATTTCCCATTCTTTGTTTATATTTACAGGAGATTTATGACGATGAATATTCTTGGAAAGAAAACAAGGAATGTTTTTGGGCAAATTCAGAAAAATAACTGTACTCTTTTAAAAATTAAGTGTTACTGTTCCTAATGAGCATACTGGTTTAGCTTTGAGTTGTTTTTACAGAGAAACTATATGTTTTTCAGCAGTTGTAGTAGACATTTCAATCTGAATAATTTAATTAGGACTGAATGAAATGAATGAGTAATATGAGTAAAAATGAATGGGTGTTTAGGTGTTCTTGACTCTCCTTTGAAATCATCTCTGTGCATTTTAACATGGAGTCAGTTTTTAAAACAACATTGCCTAAAATTCTTAGTTGCAAGGTGTTTAGTACTCTGATATAAACTGCTTTTAATGCTTTTACATTGGTAGTCTCTGTTCACTGTCTGCATGAGAGGTCACAGCTGTACAGTTGGATTCTTTTTTTTTTTAATCCTGAGAGGCAGTTTTATCTAGTCCTCATTATCAATGTAGACAAGATAGATATGAAGGAAGGGAAAGATAAAGTAAAATGATTTGTTTACATTTATATATCATTGTATCACAGAACACTTAAGCCTCAGCTGTATAGTCTATTTCATTGTGTCTGCAGTAAAAATCTACAAACAACTGCTAGCTGCACAAAATAAAATGAGAAAAATAGGCGATGGTATCTCTTCCCCCTGTGATCTCAATCAGTTTTAAATACTCGGTGATGGTTACTGTGTCTGGATTAAATAAACCCCAGTGAAACCTATAACTTCAGGCAAAAGCATTGTTAAATTGTACTCGTTAATTTACTGATGCACTTTCCTCAATGGAAGTGAGTCCTTCTTCTGCAGAACAGCAGCTGCTCTTTGCATGCTTACACATATACAGTCTCCAAAGGCTGAATTTTCCTCAGCTTTGTAGGCTGGAGAGAAACCCCCTGCTATCTGAATGTAATTTTTACCAGTAATTGTACAGAGTCCTGAGTACAGATCACTTCCTCTGTCAAATAATTTTTTTTTTTGTTAGAAAAAAATATACAAGCTTTCCCACTTCTAGTGTTCATTTTTCCACATTCATGCTTGCTGTTACCACATAACTTACTAGTGTATTAATTTCATAAAAATAAACGGCTAGCTTGCATTGTAGTGGATGGTTTATGAATGAACTAAAACCTATGCAGTGCTTGCATACTGATGCTGTGCACTATACAGAAAAACAGAGGTATTTAGAACAGTTAAATTGTAGCTGGTGCCCTATGATTGGGGGCAATTACTGTGTTGCACTAGTGCCTCTCTAGTGCTGCAGCCTCCTGGAAGATTTCTCTAAGGTGACCTTAAGTGCACCTTCCCCATCAGCAATATAGCTGGGAAAGAGGGTGCAGAAAAGAGGAGAAAGAGTAATTGTGTACTTCCCCACAGTGACCAGGAACAATGAATGGAAGACGTGTTGTACTGAGTCACAGCTGAGTGTTACAATGTGTGTACGCTGCCACAGTCAAAACAATGAAATGTCATTTTGTGTCCCTAGCTGTGCATGAGGCAAGTACTGCTTTGTTCTGGAACAATGATGTATCAGTCTTGTGTAACTTTGGGTTCCTCAGCTGGCATCTAAAAGAAAAATGGAAATGCCCCTCGGAGAGATGATGTGCAAATTAGGGGTCAAATGTATCTCAGTGAAACTTTGGTCCATACTCCAAGCTCAGTGTTCCAGCTCCCTCTGTAGGGCTACCCTCTCTACTAGGGCAATATTATTGTAAGAGGGCAAATTACTCTGGTTTAAGATAGCTGCCTAAGGCTATGTCTGTAGTGACCCAGAAGTGCTTCCAAATTTCTAGGCCAGGGGATGAATCCCAGCTGTGCCTTGATGGCACGTCAGGAAAAGATGTGACTGCACATGTCCTGGTTTTCACACATGCAGGACTAGGCTGCTGGATGAGGGCTACCTTGTGGTGAGGTCTGTGTATGGGATGATAGGCATCTGCAGGTCAATATACAATGCAGTCCTAGGTTTCCTGGATGAGCCCAGCTGCTGCTCTGCCTTGGCTGTAGGGGACGGGTAACCCTAACCCTCGGTGGCTTTCCAGCTGTGACACAGCATGATGCAGAGGTGGTGGCTCCAGGTGCAGACAGATGTTCCTGGGAACAGATGCTGCGAACCAGAGGGTCATCATGTGCTTCCTGTAGAGATCTGCCAGATGAGGGCATTTTGTGGAAGGGAAATGTGTGTCTTCAGAGTGAGAATTTGTCCTGTAAAGATGTCTTGGTCTTGGCTGGCATGTTTGAATACGCTGATCCATCCCTTTGTCTGGCAGAATGTCCATATACCAGCATTGCTTAAGAGTTTCCTTTCCTGATTTTGATTTTAAATTCTGCTCTGGTTTCAAGAGAAGCTCAGCCTGATGCATACTGTGAGAACAGGAACTGATAGATTGTCACGAACGAAATGCAGTGGGGGGTGGATGGGCTTGTGTTTTAAGGACCCTTCCCAGGAGATGGCAGCCGAGAGACATCTGTGCGGGAAGAGCGTATCCCAGCCTGCCCAGGTGCTGGCTGGGCTGGGAAACAGGCAGTCGCTTTGGCTATCCCTTGTCCAAGCACCACTGTAACACTCAGGAATGAAGCCTTTGCTCAACTTTAAACTAGATTTTTGGCTTTTGTCTCAGCATACTTGTACCATAGCTGTTCAAGGAATGTGTAGTTTTATAGACTAATGCATTTATTTGCTCCATCAAAAACATTAAAAGGAAAAAACTGATAAAACTAATAATTAACAAAGTGAATTTGCCTGTGAAAGCAGACAGTGCTACCCTTTGCCCCTCAGAAAGCTCTGAAAATTCAATCTTGAGCTCTTCGGTTATGTGTCTTGTGGAGGTACTTGAAGAGAGGGAGTTAAGAATAGGCTGATGACTGTTTATTTTAGTACCGTAGGCCTGTTCTTTAGAAACAAATGAGCCATACAGTTTGATCTTATCAAGTGTTATGAAAATTAGCATCCTCTTTTAAAAGTTAAATTTTGGCTATTTTAAGAGAAAGAAGCAAATACATTTTAAAAACTGCTAGCACACCAAAGCCTGTGATTGCCTATGAATAATTGATCATAAATGAGGGCAGAAAGGTTAACTAAAAAGATAGAACTCAACTTTTCAGAGGCTGTGACATCAACAACATCTGAGGCTGTGAAAATTACATACACTTTACTATCTTTAAAGGCAATAAAAAGTTGAAGCAATTTGCTGTAGATACTGAGATGCATTTTCATGTTCTTCAGTCTTTAATGTGCAAGTTTTTGTTGTGGATCAGTTTTGGATATAAAGGGTAATACACTCAGGTCTGTATATAAGGAATCTGGCTTTAAATTTTGCAGAACACTGGGACTTGGTGAAAGATAGGGTTTTGTGCCTTAAGATTAGGGTCATCTGGTTCTGTGTTATGGAAGTGTTAAAGTTGGTAGCCTGAATGTTTATGTACCACTGTTAAGAAGTATGGAGGAGTTCAAAGTGGTAAAAAAAAAAAAGTTAGCTCCACGAATGTGGCTAGTTTTCAGGTGGTAGTTACAGCCATGACTGGCCTCCTATCCATGGCTAAACTCCTCCCTCTCTTCCCCACCTTGCTCTTGCTGAAATGTTGCATTCAGCTTTTGCAGCACATGGTGGGGAATAGCCAGAGCTGGTGTCAGGACATGCTACTGCTCACCAATTCTGTATGTAATATGAAGTGCAGAGCATGAGACTGGCAGAATACAGTATTATCTTAGATGCTAGGGGTAACCCCATGTTTACAAGGAGGCCTAACCATGGTAAGTTTTTAACACCAGATAGTCAACCAGAGATATTCAAATACAGCCATTTTCCAGTAATGTGAACTGACTTACACTGTAATATAGCTTACTGGTAGTGTTATAACTTACAAGACTTCAAGTGCAGCTCCTTTGTATATGTAACAGAGTCATTCCCTTAGGGTTTTCACTGTGTGCTACTGGAAACAATGACATGTTTAGCCCCATTTTATGTAGTGCTTTTTCAGTAGCATTTCTTCTCTCTAGGGTGCTGTTTAAAAATAAATGAGTCTGTGTTCAGCAGTACTCTTGTTTTTATTGTAGTAACACTGTTAGGCCCTTAGGTAGGCACCACAGTGATACAGTCCCTGCTCCCACAGAGCTTACATGCTAACTTTCAGAAGTCAGTTTGATTATAAACTCTCTTGTACATTCCAAATATATACATAGGCTCATATGAAACTAACTCTGATTTTGGACTTAATTCTAGTACTTCAGGAAGTCACCAGCTAGATTTCAAGACCAGAATCAGAGATGACGAGTTTGTTGAAGGCACTCCTGACTTTCCTTGCTGCAAGCACAAACAAGCACATGCTAAAGCTCAACATTTCAGAGTATTATTTCACCTGTAATGTGCTGTTTTAAAAAAGTAAAACTAAAAAAACCACAAAACCAACAAAAAAACCACCCTTGCGCATAATACAAAATATACATAATATTTCCAGCATTATTTGCGGCCGTGCCAACTTAAAAGTGCAATAGAATAGACTTGCCCATTATAAAAACTGAATTAGCCATTTAAATATTAATTGTAAAAGAAAAATAAACTAGTAACTGGAAGTGGTTAGGATACAGAAACCTTATCCATTGCTATGCCTCCCCTTTATTTTGGGAAAAGTATTATGTCCAGGTGAGGGAAAAAATCCTGTTGTCTGGGTCAAAATAAAACCCAGTGAAGACTAGTGAATCGATCATTGCTACCTGATTGAGAAACTGTTAAATCCCCAAAGACGTTGGATGTCAGATACTAACCTGTACCTCCCACTGAAGGTGGAAGAAGGAAATCTGGCTGAATGCCTGAATTTCCCTTGCAAGCAGCACCAGAAATGAAGCTGCCATCTGCTGTGTTGTGAAATTCCCCCTCTAGCCTAGAATGCATGACCCTGGTTATGTAGGAGCTTCCCACACATACGGGTGTAGGGTTTTGTTTTTTTCCTTACAAGTTTATACAAGAATTGAGGCAGACAAATTTTTATCCTTACTTTCAGAGCATTTGCCTGCAGGGCTTATAATTACAAGTCAGAAGCTTATTCTTTAGCTTTATGCAATTACTACTATTTTTTTTTTTTTTTTTCCTACATTTTAAATAATTGTTTTGGTCACAACCTCCACTGATGGCAACAATCTTGTTTGACAGTCGAGATCACAAGCTGGATTGTTTTTCAGAATGTTAAAAAAAAAACCAACATCCCAAAACATAACATTTCATAGATACAAAACAAATCTAAAACACATATAAACTACATTGATCACAATCCAGCTGTCACTGCAAATGAAGCTGTTTATTTGCCAAAGAGATGGTTGACTCTTGACTGATTACTGATGAAAAAAGACCAAGTAAAACTTTAAAACGTGCTCAAGCCTAGTTTTTGAAGAGTCCCTCAGTAAATAATCTGGAAAGTGCCTAAGCATAATTCCAATCTAGCTTTGGGGAAAGAAAGCAGGACTTTGGGTTCTGAATTAGGCACATTTAAATGTTTTACTCTTCAAGTAAATCACCTCGAGTTGGAAACAATCTCACTTGCATGGCAACGTACATAAGGACAAAACACAACATATCTTTTTTCACAATTGACTAGAAGTGTAACTGCCAGCCATGAGAGAGAAAGGCAGCCAAAAGGCCAATCC